TATTTCAGTAAATAAAAACATGAAGGGGTGAGACGATATTTCAGTAACATTATGACGGGAGCATCTGACGGAAGAAGAATAAACGTTTCCTGCAGAACAGATTTGTCTCGCGTCTTTTAGCAGCTCAGATGAATAATGTTTCACAGTCAGGTTCTGGTTCTGGTTAAAATCAGCTGATCTTCATGATGCCTTCCTGCAGGCGGGCCATGCGTGCTGCGTTCAGGAACCGTCAGAGAGGAGCCATTCTCACCACACACTACATGGAGGAGGCCGAGGCCGTCTGCGACCGCGTGGCCATCATGGTTTCGGGCCAGCTGAGGTTCTGAAGCTTCAGAGACCCCTCAGATGTGTTCCTAGATGGTTCTGCAGCCTCACGGCTCCGTTTTGTCCACCAGGTGCATCGGCTCCATCCAACACCTGAAGGGGAAGTACGGCCGAGGCTACAGCCTGGAGGTGAAGCTGAGGGAGGAGCTGACGGGCCTCCAGCAGGTGGCGCTGCTGCACACAGAGATCCTTCGAATCTTCCCTCACGCTGTCCGGCAGGAGAGGTGGGTCCAAACAGGAGCATCCTGTCCCAGTCCTGGTCCCAGAGACGGGTTTCATCTTTAACCAGAGAAACTGCATGTCCTGAGAAACGACAGCATGAATGATGTCAGCTGCCGAAAAACAGCTGAACAGAGCAGAATAAGATGAAATGGAGACGAATAGATTATAATCTGAAAACAGCTGAAGGGTCTGATGTGAAGAGCTCCATTCATTTCAATGAGGAAAACATGGCCGACAAAGCTAAATATTTCAAAACATAAAAACTGCTCAAATACCAAAGGCCACGGCAGGAATGTCCTGAACGAGCCGAACGTTTCGATGCAGGATGCGTTGACATAGCCCAAAAACTGCTGAACGACTTACGAGCTGAAAAACGAGAATATTCAGGAACATTCAGGCCACAAATGAACAGTGTTCCTTGAACGTCTCATTGTGTCCAGGGTTTAAAACCAGTTTGTCATAAATCAACAAATATAAATCGTTTCACTATCCTCTGAGGGGTAGTAAACGCACCACGATCTGCAGACTCCTGAGGGGCAGTGAACGCACCATGAGCTGAAGCTCAGGCTGAAATGAAAAAGTAACTTTTTATAGAAAATACAAATTATTTTTCAACACAGCCACTCTAAATTTATTTATTTATTTATGAACCTTTATTTAACCAGGTAAATTCCACTGAGATCACAGAACTCTTTTATAAGGGAGGTCTGGACCTGAATCAATCCAACATGCATGTTTTTGGTCTGTGGGAGGAAACCGGAGTACCCGGAGAAAACCCACGCATACACGAGAAGAACATGCAAACTCCACACAGAAAGACCCCCGGTCCAACTGGGGATTGAACCCAGGACCTTCTTGCTGTGAGGCAACAGTGCTAACCACTGAACCGTCGTGCTGCCAAAACATGAAGTCATAGTTTAACTGAGACACAGGAGACAGACATCTAAATGTTGTAACACTCTGGTGTTAGTAAAATATTGTGTAAAGTTGAAGATGATGAGTTTCTCTCTGCAGCTTCACCACTCTGATGGTTTATAAGATCCCCATGGAGGACGTCAGGTCTCTGTCCCAGGCCTTCTCCCAGTTAGAGAGTGGTGAGACACACACACACACACAGCAAAGAGGGGGTTGGTCGTACCCTCCGTCCCTCCGTGTTGGTTTGTGGCTACATCTAGGAGCAAGAAAGCTTCCTGCCACAAACTGGGTGGCCATGTCAAAATCCAAGATGGCTGCTGCCATATGTTTGTAAACAAATCACCTGATCATTGAGGAAACAGTGCTTTCTACTTATTTTAAAGTTTCCTCAAAGGATCAGGGGCTGGTGGTGGATAAATGAATACCTCACATTAAAAACATTTATGTTTACTTCATCTTCTGTTCAGTCCAGAAAAACACTCATCTAAAAACTACAAACACGCACAGTTCCAACCCCTCAGAGACGTCGCTCCTATTGTTCATTTCATGTTTTTCTGTTTTCAGCCAAACAAACGTTCAACTTTGAGGAGTTCAACTTCTCTCAGTCCACTTTGGAGCAGGTAATTGCTTATTAAATCATCTGGTTAATGAATCATCTGGTTAATGAATCATCTGGTTAATGAATCATCTGGTTATTGAATCATCTGGTTAATGAATCATCTGGTTAATGAATCATCTGGTTATTAAATCATCTGGTTAATGAATCATCTGGTTATTGAATCATCTGGTTATTGAATCATCTGGTTA